ACTGCCATCCCACACCCCATCCCGTATCCCCCATCCCACACCTGACTTTCTGCACCTCGTATCCCTCATCCCCATCCCTCACTGCCATTCAGCATCCCTATAGCACATCCCCAACCCACACTCCATACCCCACACCCCCATCCTGAATCCACCATCCCGCACCCCCATATCCCTCACGCCCCTATCCCACCCCCCGGATTCTGCACCTCCATGTCCCACACCCCAATATCCCATAACCCCATATTCCACACCCCCATCCTGCACTTCCATCCCACATGCCCATCCCTTATCCCCCATATCCCACACAACCATATCCCATACAACCATATCCCACACAACCATATCCCACACAACCATATACCACATAACCATATCCCACACAACCATATCCCACACAACCATATCCCATACAACCATATCCCACACAACCATATCCCACACAACCATATCCCACACCCCCATATTCCGCAGCCCGGATCCCTCACCCCCATATCTCTCAGTCCCACATCCCGCACTCCCATCCCTCACTCCTATACCCGCATCCCGCATCTCGGCTGTCTCCGGTTGGAAGCGGCTCCCGCGGCTCGAGCGCTCTCTGGCGGCGGCAGGACAGGCGGCAGGACAGACGGCAGGACAGGCGGCAGGACAAGCGGCAGGACAGGCGGCAGGACAGACGGCAGGACAGGCGGCAGGACAGGCGGCAGGACAGACGGCAGGACAGGCGGCAGGACAAGCGGCAGGACAGACGGCAGGACAGACGGCAGGACAGGTGGCAGGACAGAGGACAGGCGGCAGGACGGACGGCAGGACAGGCGGCAGAACAGGCGGCAGGACGGGCGGCAGGACGGACGGCAGGACAGGCGGCAGGAAGGACGGCAGGACAGGCGGCAGGACGGACGGCAGGACAGGCGGCAGGAAGGACGGCAGGACAGGCGGCAGGAAGGACGGCACGTGGTGCCCGCTGACCCCCCCAGATGGGGACCCCCCGCACCCCCCGTGTCTCAGGGTGTGTTTGGGGGGTCCCCGCTCCCATTCCGGTGGGCTAAGGGTGTGTTAGGGCGTCCCTGTTCCCAGTGCCATGGACTCGGGATGTGTTGTGGGACTCCTGCTCCCAATGCCACGGGCTCACGGTCTGTTTGGGGGATCCCAGTTCCCAGCACATCCTCACTCCAGCAGCCAGGGGCTGGGGGGCCAGCAGGGAGTGGGAGATGGGTGGGCACCCCTTTGGTGTTTTCACATTCAGTACAAGTTGAGACCAACTCCTGAGCTTGCCATGAAAACATCCAGAAAAGGGAAGAGCAGAATAAAAAGAATATTAGTGCAGAGGGCAAGAGGAAGTGGAAATACTGAGGTGGAGTGTTGCCAGCAGGCAGAGGGAGGTGATCCTGTCCCTCTTCTCAGCCTTGGATGCTGGACCTGCAGTGCTGAGTCCTCTCCTTGGGACAGGAGAGACATGGAGCTCCTGGAGTGAGTTCAGTGGAGGGCTATGGAGGGGATGAGGGTCCTGGAGGTTTTGTGTGTAACTGGCAGCACCAACACATCTGCACAGCCAACAGTTCCTCTCTCTGATGAGCAGCGATAGGTCCTGAGTGAACAGCATAGAGCTGTGTCAGGGTGGGTTTAGGCTAGATTTAAGGAAAGGTTCTTCCCCCAGAGGCTGGTTGGCACTGACCAGGCTCCCCAGGGCAGTGGGCACAGCCCCAAGGCTGCCAGAGCTCCAGGAGGGTTTGGACAATGCTCTCAGTGTCACGGTGGGATTGTTGGGGTGTCTGTGCAGGGCCAGGAGCTGGACTGGATGACCCTTGTGGGTCTCTCCCATTCCAGGATATTCTGTGATTCTGTGGCCTTGGCTCATGTGGCTCATGGAGAGCCTTTGAGAGCAGTGTGGAGGTACCTGCACACCCTGCCCAGCACCGAGGCCCTGCTGGGCTCACAGACCTTGGGGTGCTCTGGGCTGAGAGCTGATGTTGCAGCCACATAGAAAACAGGACACAGAGAAGAACACAGAGGCATCTCCTCAAAACCACAGACCCTGCTCCTGCTCCTGTTGCTGACCCAAGACCCACACATCACCTCAGCAGACTCCAAGATCTTTGTCCAACAGGCAGGGAGATCACATTTTTAACTGATAGCAGTTTTGAAAGTGTTTTGTTATTCTGGAGCTCCTGCATAAATCTCCCTTCTCCTAAATATATTTATACATTTATATATTGCTGATGTCTTATTCGATCACAAGGGAGGAAGCTGGTCAGCCACTGCTGGGATTGTGCCCAATGCTCTCCCACCTCATCCAGTGACAGCATTGCCTTCCAGAACACACTTAGAGCTGCAGATAAAGAGCAGAGACATACAGAAACTGCTTTTAAAGAGGTTAAGACAATGTCTTCTAGTGATTTCTTGTTTGCCACCCTGCCTATGGAAGAGCAACTGCAACAGAGAGGTTCCCTTTTCAACACCTTGCAGCAACAGCACCGTACTGGGAGCTGCTTCTCAGGGAGCACCAACCAAACACCAGAGTGATCAAGAACTGAATTATTCAATGGCCCTTTTTGGATCTTTTAAACTACATCCAAATTTCCCTGGTCTCCCTTCAGCACTCCTGCTGCTGGTGCTCTGCGGAGGGATCCGACCAGTAACCCACGAGTGGAAACTCAGGATTAGCTTTTCTCTCTGGAGGACTCTTGAATGACAGGCTTTGAGTCTTCACTGATAGCAATCCTCTAACAGCTCATGGAAGAGCCTTTGAGTTTGACATTTCCATAAACATCGACCTTTTTATCCTCAGTGTTTGTCGTTTGAGGAAATCCCTTCTAGTTCTTACGCATGTATAACATATAAAACAATTGAATTAATACCATATGGGGGTAAAGGAGTGAAAAATCACGTCTATAGCCAAAATAGTTCAGCAAAACTGTACAGCTGAGGTTTAAGACTGCCTCTAGTGACCTTGTGTTTTGTTTAAACATCGGTGTTAATACTTCACATAGATTATGTGCAGCACAGATTACAACAGTATGTGCTGTGTATTGTATAATTTATGAACTATTAAACTTAATTCTTATGTTTTGAGGTTGTGAGTTATAACTAAAGAGAATCTAAACTGCCAGCAAATGAAGATTTTTTTAGATTTTTTTTTTTCTGGATTAAACTGTTTTGTGGGGCCGGGGGCAGACAGACCCAAAGCCAAATACTTGCACACTCACCCTCAGCACACTGACAGCTCAGGCCTTGTAAATTTAAATATCTTTTATGTTCTCCACATGTGGAAGCTCTACTGGTGGAGTTCCAAAACACAGGTCATCTGGCTGATTTTGTGCTGTACATGAGAGGAGGACCCACTGAGGGCCAGAGGAGCAACACTTCTGCTCCCTCTGAACTCCTGGGATGCCGGAGGAAGGGCTGCTGGTTGTGTGACACCGAGCAGTGTCAGTCCATAAAATCCACAGGTAGCACAGCAGTGCTGACTACAAGTCTGAACTGCCCTCAAAAATGGAGTTGAAGCTTCTTCACTGTTCCTTTTTTATCTTGCTCAGTGAGACACCAATATTTCTGTGGGCAGCATGGAGCTCAAGGCAGGCCCAGGATAATGTTCACCCTGCTCCTCTCCAGGATCTGCCACTGCTGCTGTACTGAGTTGTGAGGGCAAAGCCCCTTTGCTGTGTCTGTGGGTGAGCCAACACCAGCACAGGCAGCTGGGAAGGATGTAAAGGTAAAACCTGTGCAAGTAATTGGGGGAGGGAAGAATCATAGAATCACTAAGATTGCAAAAAGCCCCGTAAGATCATTGAGTCCAACTATTCCCCCAGCACTGCTGAGGCCACCACTAACCCATGTCCCCAAGTGCCACAGATACACATTTTCTTGAACACTTCTCCCATCACTGCCCTGGACAGCCTGTTCCAACGCCTGACCACTCTTTCAGTGACGAAAGTTTTCCCAATACCCAACCTGAACCTCCCCTGGTGCAACTTGAGGGCATTTTGCTTTGTCCTAACCCTTGTTCCTTGGGAGAAGAGACTTTAAATCTTCACTGATAGCAATCCTCTAACAACTCATGGAAGAGCCTTTGAGTTTGACATTTCCATGAACACCCACCTCAGCACAACCTCCCCACAGGCAGTTGTAGAAAGTGATAAGGTCCCCCCGAGCCTCCTTTTCTCCCGACTAAACAACCCCAGTTCCCTCAGCTGCTCCACACCAGACTTGTGCTCCAAGGATCTCTTAAGAAAGATTAACTTACTGGTTTTCCTTGGTTCCTTATGTAGTCTATGGAGATTCTCACGTGCAACCTGTAACTCAGGATAAAGTGTCCTCCTATAACTTGAGTACAGTCTTGGTGAGTAGTGGCAACAGCCTTTTGTGATAAGCAAGTCCTAGTCAGAGATGCTGTGGTACAATTCGGTTTAGAAACAGACTTTTGCCCTCACCTCAGTTCTCATATGTAAATACTACCTGATGCTACACTGCCCCAAAGCTCTGCAGGGCAACACCTTCAAGTCTTTTAGTTTATGGCCAGTACAAACCATTCTGTCAGTCACCACTTTGCACAGAGTGCCAGGAACAGCTGGCACAGGGTCACTGAAGAAGTGAAGAGGAACACTGAAGGTGTTCCAGTGACACTGGAAAACCACACGGTTTGGCTCTCAGGAGCGAGTGATATGTCTCACTCCCATGCTTGAAGTTTACACAGGAGTGTTTAAGCAAACAGCTTTATGGGGGAGGAAGGAGGAATCCAAATAAAGAGTAAACCTGGAAGTCCTGAAGAGCTGACAGGTGAGACTACTGCCCTCTGTGTGCGTTGCAGCAGGCAGCTCCTGCCAGCCCCTACTCTTCCTCAGAGCTTTCATCCCTCCTCAGGGCTCAGGAAAACCACCCAGCCTTGGCCAGCTCCTTGTATCCCTCATGGACACTCAGCATCTGGGGCTCTATCCAGCAGCTGAATCACCAGAAGGGCTTTTGCAAATTACACTTCTCAATAAATTCGACTTTCCTCTGACACGTTTTATCGTTCTCAAGGTTTACTTAGGAGATGAAACAAAAGTTAATTACACCAACCAATAGGTCAGGAAAATGGATGGATCTGCTCTCCCTCCAGCTGGGCTCTTGTTGCATGGCAGCAGGACCACATCCTATGGGAAGGCCACAGGATATGTTAGGAAGGCACATTCGAACCATCAGCCCGACACTTCTTTATTACAGTGTATTTATTTTTTATCATGTGCTTTGACAGGAGTCTCATAAAGTGTTATGCTCCTTCTGTAAGGTCAAAGTCTTGTGACCTTCCATGATTTTAGAGAGAAGGAACATAATTTTTGAGGGTATGTTTATTATTTCTGTAAACAGACTGTTTTTCATGCCAAGTGAACAGTTTTTCTGTATGTACTTAGATGACAGCTCAATTTTACTGGCTCACTTTCCTGACCAAGTCTTGCCTGCCAAATGTTTTTGATCATACTCTGGCAAACAAAACAATATTACTAGGAGAGCTGAGCAAATAATCGCCAGAAAACTGCTGATTTTTTTAAACCTCTTTATTGCTTCCATAATATCCCTGAATCAAATGCAGTTTCCTCAAGTTCAATTACAGTTTTAAAGCCTACTATTTTTTAAATTAAAACCAAAATTACTCTGTGGAATCAGAGAAGTAATTTCCAAAACAGTTAGTTGTGACTAAGTTAGTCCATCACACTGTGTTGCTCATGTCCCCAAAGAACCAGATGCCCACAGTGTTCCAGATGATTGCACAGTTCAACCTCTGGACAGACAGCTCCCACGTCTGTTTTCACTAGCACAGATGTTCATGGATGGTAGACAAGAACACAACCAAACCAAATTTGTTTTAAAGTCTGAACACTCCACTTTTGCCATATATACTGATTTCTGAAAAAATCATCGAACCCCAGAATGGTTTGGGTGGGAAGGGACCTGAAAGCTCATCTCATTCCAACCCCCTGCCATGAGCAGGGACACCTTCCACTACCCAGGTGCACTGAAGTAACTTCCTTTCCCTTCCCATGGTGAAGATGTGTTTCAAACAGACCTGTGTCCTGCAGGCTCTGTGAGTGCTCCAAGGCTTTGTTCTCTGATGGTCCATAAGAGCTCTTGCAGTGCCCTGCAGATGCTGTGAGCTTTAAGCAAACTGACCCCTCACCTAAAGGGTTTTTTCAGTAGCACCAAGCTCATAAAATCCCTCCCTGTTGCCCCACTATTATGTCAAGGAAGGCAGAACTATGGTATGTGCATTTGACTGCTACTTGTAGAACCTTCTGGAAACCTTGTAGGTGGGCACACAACAAGTGTTGGGATACCAGGACAGTCCTGAGGGCACTGAGCTACAACATGCCGTGTTCTACTCTGTTCCTGCACGACCAAGAGTGTAAGAGGGATGAAGGCTCCGGCTCACCACTGCCTCCACAAACACTCCATTTCCTTTTCTAGGGGTGGGTTTATTCAGAGACTTGGATGGGATTTAATGAAAATCCCAATCAAACACATCATACAAATCACCAGGCAGCTGTACCTGCAACAACCCTCTGCTTAGAGAACCTGTGATGCACCTCTAGCAATATTTCCACACCGACCAAGAGCTGTCCCTTCCCTCTGGGCACCCAGCTGCAGGTGTACCTGCACAAATAAATACCAGTAAATTCCTACAAACACCTGCACTTCCCTTTGCCAAAGTGTAACTCATGCTGAGATCCCTGTGGGTTTTGATCAGTGCCTTAATGGTCAGAACCCCCAAGCCTTCCCTTCTGAAGCTGAGCCTCCCTGATGTTCTTCCTACAGCAATCCTGTGGCAGGTGGGGTTGTTTTGGCAACCAGAGGATTCACACTGCCTCACTCTGCTCCTTGCTCTTTCCACATGTTTTGTTAAAAAGTAATTCATATTTCTTTGGCCTTGTTCTTTTCTTTTCTTTCCCAACAAATAAACCCCCCCAAAAAATTAAAACTCACTTCTTCAACCCCCCAAAAATAAAACTCACTTCTTCAGCCCCTCCTCTTTCAACATCTCCTCGAGGAAGGCGCCATTCCATTCTGCTGAACTGATGGAAAGAAAACTGTTGTTTAGTTAATAATCATTTCTAATCTGAGATAGAGATAATACCCATTCTGGCAGCAAATCAGCTGCTTTAATGCACACCAAGGGCCTTAGCAGCTCTTAAGAACCTGAACACATTTTGTACAACATGATTCTAAATTTTCACTGAGCATTATAGGGAATCTGGCATTTATTACCTCTAGGTCAGAAAACCCAGTCCAATCTAATGCAGAAGTCACTGAAAAAACCTTTCAATTAATGAAAAAAAAAAAAAAAGAAAATTACCATTAAAATCTCAACCAGAATGAACTACGTCTCACTTAAGACATTTTTACTAATGCTCAAGGCTGACTGGTAAGAGTGTATGGTTTAAGTTAGCTCCCTGCAAACTTATAGTTGCCATGTTATCCCAGTAAAATCTATTTTCATCCATTGTGGCTCATATTAATTTGAAGTTGTAGAGCTGTAAATAACTTCAACCATCACAGGCTTTATAAAGCGGAAAATGTTTAAGCATTTGTTTTAGAAAGCAAGAACATTACACACAGGTGAGTGGTGAAAGCAGGTTTCTGAAATAAATGCAGTAAATTACACCTTCATCTACCACAACGTCTTTGTGTTATTATCTTTCTGGAAGAACACACACCACTCACAGGGTGGAGAAGAGGGTCTCAAAACTCCTGAATTCCCTCCTCTGGGAAAGAATCCACCACAGTCAAAGCTGCTGACTTTGGCTGTCTAATTTCTTAATCATTATTTTAAAGTAGAGCCACTCAAAGCTGAAGACACTCAGATATTTTCCCATTAGTTTACCTATGCTGTTTTAAAATGGGGGGTGATTATTAGCTCTTAATCATTAAAAATGCTTTAATGACAAGTGTGGGGAAGGTAAACTACAGAAACATCTACCCTTTTGTAATAACAAACCCACTTTGAACAACTTCTCACTTGCCTTAGCAGGCTATCAGAGCTGTAAAGGCCAAAGCACAGTTTTAAGGTCTTGGCATTAAATGTGAAGCACATAAAACCCAAAGAGGTGAGAAGGAAACTCAACACAAAGGCCCATTAAAAAAAAAGAGAATTAAAAAAAAAAGGTAACGAGAAAAAGAAAATTCTACAGAAGACTGGTAACATGACAGAGATACACTAGCATGTTTTTAGGAGAAATAGCAACCAAATCCACACAAACCCCAATGAAAGCATATGAAATGGTCACTTGTCCTGCTCTGAAACTACACCCAGTGGGCAGTGAGGGTTTCCATCCTCACACTGCTGTACCACCAACACGCTGCCCGGGCTGAACCTCTTAGAAACCTGTGGCAGTAGGCACCACTTATCTTTCCCAGGAAAAGGAGAGAGTTCCAGCAGAACAATACTCAGGATCTAGAAGATCCACCAGCTCCAGTGACTCTGCACACAAACTTGCTTGCACTCAGGATCCTCTCTCCACACTTCCAACAGCACTGCCCCATTCCACTGAGGACGTGTCTTGCCCCAGGAGCAGCCTCTCCAGCTATGTTCTCCACTGCTGGCATTGTTTCATTCCATCTGCTGATTATCCCTTGGAGTCTTTTGCTGCCTTCCCATCATGCTGATGTTTATGGCAAACAAGAGAGATATTGTACAGTGCACAACGTGCCTGCATAAACAGTGCAAATGAAAGGCTCCCAGTGAAAACCTGAATCATCTTTGTAAAGGCTGTGTTTATGTTGGAAGAGAACACTGCTATCCCCAGGGAGCAAGTGGGGTGGCAGGGAACAAAAAGAGGAATAAAGCATTCAAATAACAGAATCACAGAATGATTTGTGTTGGAAGGGATTTTAAAGATCATTTAACTTCCCCCCCCCATCATAGGCAGGGACACCTTCCACTAGCCCAGGTTGCTCCAATCTGGCCTTGGACACTTCCAGGGACGGGGCAGCCACAGCTTCTCTGAGCAACCCTCACAGCCAAGAATTTCTTCCTCATATCTAATCTACGTCTGCCCTCTCTCAGTTTAGAACCATTTCCCCTTGTCCTGTCACTATGTGCACACATAAAAAGTCCCTCTCCCCCTAAAGCTCCACAAAATCCAGTGGTTGTGCAAGGGAGATAAGGACCACGAGCAATTTGGATGCAAAAATGAAGGCAAAAGTTTAAAGGTTTCATACCTTACTTCACAGATTTCCCCCATACAGTTATTCTTCAGTTACCCACTCGCTTGGAACAGAGAAATGCACTTTGTGCTGGCCCAACATCACCCTGCAAAACCCCACCACGCTGCACAGACAGGATTCCAAGCACAGGAACGTTGGAGTTGAAACTCATCCTGTCCCTCCGCCCCCAGCAAACCAAGGGATATAGAAAGGGGGCAGGACCTTAAAAGAAACAAGTGATTCAGAGTTGAAAAAGGAGCAGCTGCATCGCGTTCCTTTGCCACACGGTGGCATATGCTGATGGAAAATAAGATCCAGCCAGGAAAGGTCTGCAAGGTCTGAACAGACCTGGGGGCGGCAGGTTCAGCTTCCCTGGAGTTACTCCTTTATGTCAGGTTCCAACTCGGCCCTACAGCATTAGAGAGTCTCATCACCGAACCTGAACTCACACTTATTCCTGCGAGAGAAAAAAGTCTCCTTTCCCCCCTTTTCATCCCTTATTGAGCTACTCTTTCTAAGCAAGAGTCCTCTTGCTGGATGTACCTGGGAGCCTGTACCTCATGATGAGCCAGTTTTCTGCTGGTTCGTTCTCTGAACTAAAAAACCCCATATAATTCAAAATATGGCATTTCTGAGCATTCTAGGAACATGGCTTTCTCTGTGCCACAGTCCTGAGGGGTTGTCCATGCTCAACCTGCCAAGGCATGGAGAGAGAAGCAGCCTTGCCCCTCTCTGCACCACTGTACAGGCACAAGTGTTTGTGCAGCTGCACCACGGGCCAGAGCAAGGACACAGTGTGGTGAAAACATCATATTTTCCCTTATTTCAGACAAAAAAGAGCAAAGCCAGCATTTATTTTCATGCCTCTGTGGTTGTATCTTTACAACACAACAAAGAAAGCTTTGTGCTTCCTCCTACGAATTCCATAAATTCTTTCTGAAGCATTCAAAAGATTGTTTATGTGTGTAATTATGTAACAATAAACACAAATTTTGGGAGCAGATCACATGGCGTGACCACAGCCTGTGCTCAGCGTTCCAGCCCTGAGCCAGCTAAACCCTGAACACACAGGAATGATAATGGATGGCGAAGGCACAGATCACACTCGGCGGGACGGGACACTCAACGTGTGTCCTGGAGTTCGTCTAAAAAATGGAACTGGTGAATTTTAGTAACGGTTTCTGACAGGCAGACACAGGAAGGGAAACCCCCTCCAAGTCTTTTAGAGACAGCCATTGTTTTTTTTTGGTTTAGAAATCAGTGTTATTGTAGGAATATGGTTTGCTAATGCTGCCAAAACCCAAGGCATGTTTAAGACAGTTCAGTACTAATGGGACTGACACGTTTGAAGAAGGAAGCCCTGTCTCCCATGCTGACAGCTCCTTCAGCTCAGCAGAAAGGAGCAGCAACAGCGTTCTTTTCATGATTTCCAACAAGTTCCCAAATCTGTCTTTACTTTTAAAAAAATGCAAGTTAAAAGAATGTAAACCCTGCTAGTGTTTATGCAATTATATGATGTACTAGAGACACAGATTCTAGGTGCTAATGTACTAATGTGGCTAATGAGACAGACACAATGTACTGCCAAAAATCTGTGAGTACCTTGAAAACCACAGCTTAACTTCCCAAGTGTGTTACCAGGACACTCACTCCAAAAACATCCTGATGACCCTCAGACAGATGTTTCAGGCCAGCACTCTACTGCACCACAGAGGTTCACGGCTCTCACTTCTCCTTTAATCAGCGACTGTGTATTCAACTCCAGTGTTAAAATAAACCATTACGAACCCATTCTAGTCTTGTGTCCAAGACCTAAATACCTTTTATGTCTGTCAAAAAACTTGAGCTAAGCCTCTCAAAGCCCTGCCTGGTGTGTCTGGCACCTCCTCAGCAGAACCCTTGGTAACACACCAACAGCACAGCAGGATGAAGTGAGACCTTCGGGGTTTCAGTGTGACAACACCCTCCACCTGCAGGCACCGTTTACCTGGAAAACATTTGGACATTTTAAATTGAATTCCCAACCTTTAACCACTAAGAAGAAAGATTACCCTAAAAACATCAAGCCACGTCAGTAAAAATATTGACATGAACACACACACATAAACACAAACACACAAACACAAACACACAAACACAAACACACAAACACAAACACACAAACACACACACATACACACAGACACACACACACATACACACACACACAGACACACACACACATAAAACTGCATACAAACACAAGGACACAAACACATAAACACAGACACACATAAAAATGCACACAAACACACAGACACAGACAGACACATAAACACAAAACAGAAATAAACACACAGACGCACATATAAACACACGCACAAATATACAGACACAGAGACCCACAAATACACAGGCACAGAGACACAAACACACACACAAACACACGCACACAGACACACACACGTTAACACACAAACACACACGTGAACACACGCAGAGACACGAACACACACACACATACACACAAACAAACAGACACAGACACACAAACACACACATGAACACACACAGAGACACGAACACACACACACATACACACAAACAGACACACAAACACACACATGAACACACACAGAGACACGAACACACACACACATACGCACAAACAAACAGACACACAAACACACACATGACCGTCCGCCCACACCCCCGCACACACCCCCACACCCATCCACCCACACTCACACCCGCCCCAGGCCCCTGAGGCCGCGGTCGCTCCGGGCAGCGCGGGCTCGGCGGCTCCAGCCCCGGACGATCAGCCCTCAGCCGCCCGAGCCCAGGGCCCGGTCCCACCTCCTCCTCCGCCGCTCCCTCCTCCCCTCAGCGCTGCCGGCGCATGCTCTCTGCCCGTGCTCTCTGCCTGTGCTCGCTGCCTGTGCCCTGCCCGTGCCCTGCCCGTGCTCTGCCCGTCCCGCGGCGCTGCCGGCGGAGCGGCCCGGGCGGGCCCAGCACGAGGTGGGTCCGCGCCCCCCGCCCCGCTCCGCTCCGCGCCCCCCGCCCGGCCCTGCCCGGCCCGGCCATCCCGGCCCAGCCCGCGCCCTCCGCCGGCACTGCGGCCGGGGCGGCCCCCGCTCGCCGCCATTCGGGGCTGAGCCCGCTCTGCCCCCCCGGAGCTCCCCCGGGCACAGCCCGGCACCCGCCGTGCCACAGAGCGGCCCCGAGGGGACCCGGCCCTTCAGGGAGCCGGGAAATCACAGCGGCCCGCAGGGGTTTGGGTGGGGAGGGACCCGCCCGCTCCCACCCCCTGCCGTGGGCTGTCCGCTGTCCCGGGCTGCTCCAACCTGGCCCTGGACACCTCCGGGGATGGGGCAGCTACCGCCTGAATCGCAGCCTGAAAATGCTTTCGGTATAATAAATGATGGGTGTGATTTCAGCCTCGCCAAGGCCCGCGGCTGTCGGGGAGCGGGAGGACCGTGACCGGCAGCAGGGCAGGCGGATTTCCCGGTTCTCTGCAGTGTTTTCGGGTTTTGTGGGGTTGTACCCGGCTCTGATCATCACTTAATCACCCTGAAAAACGCAGCTCAGTCAGTCCCCTTTGGAGGGGAGAAGACAGGCACACATACGTCAATCCAATCAGGAGAGTAACTTTTAGGTGTAGTTATTACTGCTTTTGGCAACAGACTGTCACTACAGTCTTCAGTGGAGTAACAGATAAAAAAATTACCTGATATATTAATAATCTAGGTCTCAGAGTTTTCCCTTTGCACAGCTCCATTTCTTTTGCTTTTCTTAGACAGGGACGTGTTTTCGGCAGTCCTGCACCTACTTAGTGAAACCGAGCTCCACATCCGTGGAGTAATTAATCCCGAAAGAATGTGCACAAAATAGATGTTTGCAATTTTGTATGTATTGCTTGAAAGCATTTTTAGGTCGTGATTCAGGTGGTGGCTATCCCATCCCAACCAAGGCCAGGTTGGACGGGGCTTGGAGCAACCTGGGATAGTGGAAGGTGTTGCTTCCTTCCCAGGGCAGGGGGTGTGACTGGATGGGCTTTAAGGTCCTTCCCAACACAAACCACCTTGTGATTCCATGATTTTTCCATGCCTGTTTTCATCAGTAGTTTATGTGAAACATACACTGTGACTGCATGTGTAAGACAAGATGAAATAAGATATAATAAATAAGAATAATGTAGGAAGTAAGAGATAAGACAGTCTTCAGGGCCAGCTGCTGTGAGAGTATCACCTCAGAGATATAATTAGCAATGTAATCCTCTCTCATGGTGTGCTTTGCTTGGGTGGATGCATAAACCGACCTGAATAGCAACTCTTCCACATGTTTGAGTAAATATTTTACTTCACTGAAAAATCCAATGCTACCGTTATTACATTTTTTTAAAATGTAATAGTAGTAAAATTATAAATGGGAGGAGTTGTCTTGGAACTGTGAAATCTGACATGGATGAAGGTAGTTGCTGGGTAAGAATGTGCTACAAATAATATAAAAACAATGGATTGCAAGCTCAGATAAGGTACAAGATTACTTGTATTTTCTAGTATCAGCTGACAAATATATTCCCAGTTTCTGGCAACAGAATCATAGAACGATTTGGGTTTGGGAGCTTAAAGATCACCTCATTCCAACCCATGGGCAGGGACACCTTCCTCTAGACCAGGTTTCCCAGCCATATTTCCTAGGCACAGATTTTTTTGTTTCTTTGTGAAACAAGGTTCAGACTCCAGAATTGCTTAATCAAATATACAACAAAAGCCAAATTACTTGGTGGTTGTGTTTTTCAAGAAAACAGAGAAATTCGTAAACATTTTTACTCCTGATCTTGGGTAGCTTGTTATTGTTTGAGAATGTGAAAAGCACATAAAAACATACACATTTCCTCCGTTTTCTCTCCACTCTGGAGTTTTTGCTGGGCTTAATCCTATCTCAGGAACATGAGGGAGATACAGCCACCTGCAACTCTTGTTCTCTGGCCACTTAAGTGAAATTCCTTGGAGTTCTTCAGTTCTTCCCCCAAAGAGTTCCCTGTGTTACAGAGCTTGACCATTTTGTCCCTCAGAAAAAGAGCATGGTAAAATGCCTGAAGGGGTTGGCTACTTTAGACCTGCTTAATTTCTTCACATTTCCTCATTTCCTTTGCCTGGTCTGTCCCTTCTGGACAGTTTTATTGCACATAAACTCGACAGTGGTTCTGCATGCCCACAGCAGGTCCAGTGTCTCTTAGAAGGCATGTGTACATTAATCAGTGCTTTTGCATCACTAATTGGCCTAACATTTGGTAGCTCTTTAGCAGTTCTAAAAGGTATGAAGGGATTTCTTCTTACTTTCTTTTTTCTGACAAACTGATGTTTGCTGGCGGTTTTAAAATGAGTTAACCCCAACCAGAGGGTTGCTGGATGAGGGCTTTGCAGCTGCCTGGGCACTGCTGGCTCATGGGTGTAGAAAATGAGCCGTCTCACAAACCAGAGCTTTCCTTTTTGTAGCTAGATCTAGTTTAAGTGGTGATTTTTCTTTTCTTTTAAATCCTGTGGCTAAAAAGAGGTTCTACACTATTTTCCTGGGTTTGTAGTCACCTTTTGCATTGCAAGTCCATTGACTGACCTGCGAGTAACACCTGATACAATTCTTCAGTTTCAGAGCTGTCTTATGAATTGGAATTTTCATACTACTCTGCTGCCTTTACCTAACGTTTCAATACATTTCCATCTTATTCTTTACCAGCAATTTTAAGCAACAGTGGAACAAACAGGAAAAGAGAGACTGTTGGAAGTAGAGATGATGAAAGAGGACAGGGATCACAGTGGGCTGCTGCTCTGGGTTCTCATTAAACAGCTAAATGTATACAGTTCTCTCACAACTGTAACACTGCTGCTGTCTACCAAAGGTCTTCCAAAGGCTTTGACCCTGCTTTTGTGGTTGATTTGCAGTGGTACTGCATCATGCTTAAGAGACAGAAAAACATTATCTATATAAATATGTAATATTTAAAAGCAGAACTGACAAAAAGTCTTTAATAACATTTATGGAGTCATAAAGTTACACAAAGCTAAAGAATTCCCAGCTGAAAATAAAGCAACATTAATTGATTTTTATCAAACTATGAGAAGAGCAAAAAGCAAAAGGAGAAGCTGGAAATGTCCAAAGCCAGCTAGGAATCCAAACACACAGTTTGTACTCGATTAAAATGAACCTTAGGCTTTAGTAAACTTTAAGTTCTGCATAATGTGATGTTTTGATTATGTACCAATGAAAACAGTGCGGTCGAAGCAGTGGTCAGACATTTTAATGAGACAATTTAGACAGTTTTGTACCTGCCTAATCTGATAAACTTGTGCCTCAGGTCACTGTAGGGGTGGATTTGCTAAGTCTGCTGTAAAGCAGCCATGAGGCAGCACGTGCAGTGCAAGAGAAATAAGCTGCCAGAAGCCCAGTGATCCTGTTCTACTTACCTAAAAAGCTTGTTAGTATCTTTACATGGCAATCATAGTTCAGCAGAACTTTCCAGAGGACTAGGGATTCTTCACTTTGTTGAAACAGGAAAATGCCAGGCCTAGAGAGCTGAAGATCACTAGTTTAGTCATTAGGAGCCCGCCTGCTCTGTATTCTTTCCTTGGAAATGGCCCTGGAAATTATTTCAGCCTATTGGTTAACTCCCCCCAAAAGTCATCCTCAGTTGGCACAAAGCCTTGTCTTGACTAAAATATGGTGACAGGGCCTGTTTGAGCAAATGTTGGGCACTGATGCCTGGGACTGGCTAAACTCTGCAGAGCACTAGAGAAAATTAGTTCCTCAGCTGAATAAACTCAATAATACTGAAGAGTACAAATGCAGGAACACATATAAGGGGCAGCTCTAGTTCTGACACCTACAAATGGATACAGCAAAGCAGAGGGCTGTTGCACCAAGACTTAACCCCTCTCTGGAATCAAACAGGTAAATAGTGTTATATTATCATGAAAATAAAACTTAAGTATGTCAGTGACAGCTTCTCAAATGTGAGCATTTACAACTTGCCCCAAAGAGTCTACTTGTTTTAAGAATTTAATTAATATTTATTAATTATCTGAAGCTGCTCTTTGTGCTTTAGTCAACTAAAATGCCAGCTCCCTCCACCTCCTCCTACAAAGCGTTTTGCCAGATGCTCTATTTGTTAGCACATTTTTT